GACGGTAGATTCAGCATGCTTTTTGATAATAACGATCTTGTTATCGAGGAAAAAGGTAGAACCGAATGCATTTTGAACGTATCGTTGAGGATAAGAATAGTGGTATCCCGTATGAGTGTCCATTAAAAAACTTAAAGGAACCGACATCATAACTACATACATATTTCCATCAGACATTTTATCAGAAAGACAAGAAAGCGATTGCGAAGAACACTGGCCAATAGATTTACCAGTATACAGTGGTATTAATAAACCTAAGCGCTGTTATAGGATTTTTTCATCCCTTGATCAATGGAGTGAAAACGACGAGATGAAAGACGATAACAATACCGACGACAAGAACGTACGCTGTCCATTGCTTTTACAAAAGCACATTGACAATAACGTTCCAGAAGGTTACTTTTTGCGAAAAAAATGGAACTTTTCACAACTATACGGTAGAGAATGGGATGAAAATGATGAAGGAGAAGAAGAAGAAGAAAAGGAAACTTTGCATAAAGTCTCTGGCCATGTTTCACAGCTCAACAACAAAATCAAACACAAGCCTCTTTTGGTAGACACGCCGATTACTGACACCAAATCCGAAAACAATCACTTATTTACCGATAAATTACAAAAGCCTCTTGGTTCTTCTAATGATAGTTACGGAAACAATTACAACATTGATAAAAATGAGCAGTGCAATGACAAGACAGAAATTGATAAAAACGAAAACTGCAACAAAGAGATGTACTCAAACATGCCTGAGGGATATTATTTAAAAATGAGATTTGGAGATTTTGGTTATCGCCACAGATGTGGATATGGTACCGACGATGAAGATGGTTAAGAGTTTTTAGGTTAACGCGCAATGTGTGTTTCATAATAATAACCGCGTTTCGTTTCCGTGTTATATATAGGATAAGACTACGATAATTAATAAAGACTTAATATCAACTATTTCTTAAGTAATCAATTGGCAAGTTAATACAAAATGCCTGGGTGGGTAGTTTTTGAGTGAAAAAGTATTCATATTTTTTTTTTTTTTTTGATTAACTTAAGCCTGCTTGTGCAGTATAAATATACAACTGTGTTCCTGTACTTTTGACACACATGTTTATGTACAATTAACGAACATTACGCGGTTTACTGTGACTACAGTGCACATTCAAATATTGACACAAAGTTAGATACATTAATATGCAGCTTTGTGTCAATATTTTATCAAAAAACGTGACCAAAAGTAAACTTAAAAAGGGGCTTGATTTCTCAGATAAACCAATGTTCTGTTTTCAATAAATTAGTTACAAGTAAAAATTTAATAGATAAGTTACATCTGCTTGACTATATGCAAATTACATTAAAAAAAAAAAAAGACTAACGCTAATTGAGCACTACAGCTTATTTTAAATTGGAATAAAAGTTTGGAAGTTAAGCAGCTTTATGCCAGATTTATTTATTGCATATGATTCTGTTCCGAGTGACTTCTTAAGCTTATAATAATTGCACCATTTTAAACTCTGTATTTAAAACATCATTATGGTGTTGTTACTACAATATTACTTGAGCATGGCAATCAAAAAACGTTGCCTTCGTGAATTACTTTTCCCTCATCCCCCTACTATCCGGGAAATTATTCAAGATTTAATGGGTTCAAAAAGTGAGCCTAGTAAAAAACGGTTAGAGAGCGGCGACCATGATTAAAAACTAGATAGTTAATACGACCGAGCTTATTATTTATATTAGTCTTCATCCTTAATACGACCGAGCCTATTATTTATATCCTTAATACTCCCTTAGCATCGTCCCTTTTAATGCTAAGAAGAATAAAATCAGTTAGCTATGTAGTAAATGTATTCTAACTAATACCGATAATAAAAATGTGCAATTTTATTAGTCTCATGGCAGTTATTACAAAAAGTATCATTAATAATTGGCAAGTCTCATTAACCTGCACCACACAATAATGACACGTATTATATAACGCGAGTAGCCGCGCTGAGTTGAAAGTCTTATGATGCCAGCATTCAGTCGTTAGATAAGGAAATGGTATTCGGTGAAAGATATCGTATTCCGAAGTTGTCGAATAGAAAACTGCCTTGAAAGATCGCCTTTAAACAACTCTTGATTGTCTTCATGCTTTAGGCTTCCTTATATATTCTGTATCAGAATAATTTCACCTAATGACGCTCAATGAAATGGCCGACCGCCTTGGTAGACGTTGTATGAAGAAAATATGCATAAATAAAGCTGACGTTATTAAACACACGCACGCGCGCTGCTTGTTGCCCATGCTTGCTCAAGCCAGAAACGCATATACAGAAATACGCAACGGAAAATGACGTTTCAGTTCGCACGACGGAATACAAAAATGTCATATATGGTATTAACACTGATATTTGCATTAAGGTATTTACTATATAGTACTTTTATTATTAAACTATGTGAATACATTAACATTATTTCCAAGACACAATCTACTTTTATGAGTCAACATCCTTGATCTTACTGTGCACGAAACCATTGTATCCCAAAAGATTAGGACTACCTGCGACTTCGCAGAGAGCGTTTTTTGTAGCTTCAAAAACAAGCTTCAAAAGGACTTGCAGTGGTGTTAACGGAGTTCGGCTCAAAGCAAGGAAATAGGCTGCAAGACCAGCTACATGAGGAGTTGCCATAGAAGTACCGGAGAGTACTCTTGTAGCAATGGGAGAGCCAATCCAGGCCGACAAAATATCTCTGCCCTGTATTTAATGTAAGCACGAGTGCGGATTGTAATTAATTATTCGATGCACTCGCATAACAAGAAACAATGAGTGATGCGGCGGACAGTTATATATATATATATATACTTACAGGAGCGAAAAGATCGACACATATACCCCAATTGGAGAACCAAGCGCGAGTATCTTCAATCGTTGAAGCAGCAACAGTGATTACTTTTTGGGCTCCAGCCGGTGAGAATTTGCAAGCATCGGCGTTGGAGTTGCCAGCGGCTACGACGACGACAGCTCCAGCATCGACAGCCTAAATGAAATTTCCAACACGTGATTAGTATGTTTAAAAGTTTTCCATCAGTTATTCTAAAAAAAAGATACCTACATCGTTAGCAGCCTTATTCAAAGCGTTACTCTTACCACCTCCCAAACTCATATTAATGATAGAACCTTTATGTACTTTTCCTGTTCTTTTGGCTTCCGCAACTGCTTTCCTGTGATCCTTCACAGCCCATTCTATACCCTTGATAACAGCCATGTTTGAACCTCCTCGCTCACCCAAAACCTTGACAGCAACAATCTGAGCCTTTTTAGCGACGCCAAATCTAGTTCCAGCAATAATAGCAGCAACATGAGTTCCGTGTCCACTAATATCAGCATCAGGTTGACCACGTGCGAAATTAGCACCCCATCGAGCACGCCCCCCAAAGTCTGTGTGGTTGACAAAGACTCCGGTATCGAGTACGTAGGCCGTAACACCTTTTCCAGCGGTTGCATCATAATAGTATTTGTTATAAGTTGCCAGTACCAAGCGGTCACGATGAGATGTACGAGCAAGATTCCATGGGGCACCTTGTTGAAAAGCAGAGGTTGGAAATACTTTTTGATCTTTCTCAACAAATGCAACCTGAACGGTGGAAAGAAAAGTCGATGTAAATATTAGTCATAAAGAGCTTGAAGCGGGTATTTAGAATAGAATTTTTCCCTCAAACTTTAATAGTAGGATCGGCATCATTGATCATATATACCTGTCTAAATAAGATCTGTGCAACGACTCTAAATACTGTGCACTTACATCATCACTTTCTCTGATTTTGGTCAACACGCTCGGTGAGAATTTACCAGCATAGCCTCGGAAAGTATCAAATTCATAAGTGTACTCAATACCAGAAATTAATTCATTCAACAATCCTCGTTTGAATCTCTTTTTTTCCTCGTAGAGCAGGCTATTAATGTCGTCGTGATGCTTGGATAATTTGTCGGAGGTGGCTCCCTCCTTGAATACCACGATATATTGGTCGGGAATGCTTTCATCATCATCATAAGACATCAAGGGCGCAAGAGCGTTATCGACGTGGCCTGAAGGTGACAAGGCAACTACTGTTGCTAATAACAACATAAATAAAAAGAGGAACTTGATCATGACTGTCATTATTCGTTATGATGTCGGGGAGGAGGGCGAGAGGAGATTAGTTAAAACAATTAAACGCTCGATTAATGATGACAGGTATGAATAGGCTATTTTATAAACCTAGAGATGGTTTACTATGATACGGTATTATTTGTAGAAAGATGCAAAGACAGCGAGCTAGCATGACAACGTAGCACATGGAAGTCGGGTTGACTTGTATATGAAGTTTGTGTCTAGATATTCAGATGAAACGTACTATTTATATGTGTTGGTAATGACATATGTACCGTTCAATTTTTTGTTAGAACTCGGAAATCACTAACTCCATTGGATTATATGATCGAAAGGTTTAACTGCAAGTACTTGTTTAAATAGTTTGTTACTCTTAATAATGTCTTAAAATCAAATCGAACTTGACATGGCTGAAACGGAACCCAAAAGTATTAATCCGTTTTGCAGAAAAAGTTCCTATCACTCTAGAAACAGGTTAAACCCTGAAAAATATAAGCGACTTTTCAGTCATGTTGTGCGAGAGTTCTTATCTTTGGATTGTATTGTGTTCAAGAAATAGAAATGAAACCTTGTTCCGTAACCTTTATAGACATGAACATGTAATGTTATTTATTCTGTTAACAAGCGCTTTGCAGTATTGCTTCTCAATCACAAGGAACAGAGCCTATTACTGTTCATGTGACCTTTATAGTCTCCATGATAACACGGCGATGATTTAAACCATAATTGATATATTTGTTATGCAGAATAAAAAGATACACACAATGGACAGGGATATCGACAAGCAAAATAGATGTTAGTAATACAGTAAACAGATAGACAGTAAATGACTAATATCCAAAAATGTTTATCACCCATTCATTCGCATTACTCGATCAATACTAACAAGCATCAAATCCCACTTATTGACGTTTTCCTTAACAAGATTGTTGGTATATTGTATTGTTACGTAAAGCAACCGGAAAGCTTATTTACAACGTCTGCATACAAGTTAACGACATGAACACTCTTATACGTTCTGGGCCTGTTCGCTATCGAAATCCCAAGACGCATCGAACACTCTATTCATGAGTGCGTCTTGTTTATCACACGCTGTTCGGTAGTGAGCAATTATATACAACATATATTTTAAAAGAGCCAATTTAAGAGAATTTTATTACCATCAGTTTGCATAAATATTTCCATAATCTGGTGTAAAATCAAACTCTTGACGAACAATCCATATTAGTAACAGTAATAGTGTAAATTTGCTCCTGAAGCGTTTGTTGTTGTGTGAGTCTGGTTGAATGCTGCTACGGATATTTTCTTTTTGAAACAAGTAAATTAGAAGTTGAACCTCGAAATACTGAATAGATCTGTTGTACCTCAGCTGGGGACCTGTCTCGAGTGTCTGAGTTCTGGACTGAGTGACTGGGTTCTGAACTGAGACAAGTCCCAAACTCAGACACAACAGATCCATATTCCAAATATTTTGTCAGCAACCATGAGATAAGATGACTTGTTGAGCATTTTCAACATATCTGATATATTAATATCCTAACTAAAATATTAATTCTGTCCCTACAACCAATATATTGATAAGCATCTAATTGTAAAGAGTCTATCAGTACACCTGATAATGGGAAAGGCTTGACTTGATTACATGTTCTTATTCAATTATTATTATGGACTTTTAATTTAATATTAAAGCCAGACAGGTTATAATATATTTTATAAAATAGAATGTTACCAGTTAGCACAATTAGTTGAGTGGCAAAACAAGAAGCTCTGAAGTTAATCACAGTTGAATCTATTCCATAAGATTATAACAGTTGAAAACTTAGTGAACAAAAAATTTTTTTCAACAGATGGATTACCGAAATTATAAATTTGTCTAAGGATAAGAAAAAAAAAACTTGAAAAGGTATAGGCAAATATGCTTGGACAGCAAGATTTATTGCCATTTACAAAAACAAAACCCTGAGTATTTTAAATAAACAAATAGAAAAGAGCAGTTCAAGAGTTTATATAAATCTTTTCTATTCAACTTTAATATGTGCATCTGTCATATCTTTCAATTTGTCAGTCATAAACTTTTATATCTTTATGTCAGCTGATCAAAATTGATATCCTTCAGATCTTTCTCGAAATAGATTTCATAACAGATTTGATGGTAATTAGTTTATTTTATGGTTCTAAGATAAATATAGTTAATATAACGTATGTAACAAATATCAACAATTACATAATATTGAACTTGGTTAGTGGCTGTTTCCTTGCTTGATTGTTGTAGCATCAGATGCCTCAAGACAATTGATACTATTGTAACATAGCAGGTCTGTTAAACAATTCTGCTTCCCGGACGTAACTATCGTTATTACATCACGATTACGTAACAATAACATGATATCTTTATATATCTTAACTAAGGAGTTTTGCGTTCCTTTATAAGTATATCCTAACTAAGGCCGTCTGTACAGTGTGATACATTGTATAACAAAAAAGGTATTTATTGACGGTGATACATATTTATTAGCTGTACAATATCGAATTCCACTCGGCACTTATAATTCACACGTTTGATTAGAGCTGAGCTCAACTGACCCAGCGGTAAAGTTTAATAAGTTAAAGGCAAACAATCTTGCTGCTAAACCGTTTGTTCACACTGCAAGCTATCGATGTATCGATGGGGGGAGGCGCAAGGATGCTTTTGTTTGTTCTATGTTCGATGTTCTTGTTTAAGCCATACAGATCGCACCCGAATTACACTATGACATGCATCAAAGTTTCACACAGATAGCATTCGCTAAGGTAATGTTTAATCACAACGAAAGTGCAGCTCGCCCCAAGATTAAGCATAATATTAGTGTACTCAGTTTCGGACGTGATCCGCTACGATAACATCTATACTACATCAGATATTCACAATATAAGCCATGTAAATGGAGCAAGAAAGACGAACAAGTCGAAGCCCATTTCCCATTTACGGATGCCAGATAAGGTACGTTCGCTGTTGTCGACCAACCGATTATACAAATTTAAAAATGAGCTGATAGAAACAATATTGGGAATCGGTACCACCTCCTTAAAAGTAAGGGGCACGAACTATGAGATTAATCAGGTTATCTTGTAATTTATACGTTTGTCGCTTTGTTATATGCGTAGGATATGTTGTTCTTCTAATCTAGAACGTGGTATCCGAGTCGGGTCCCAAAAACTTTACTGAAAAGATTACACTCCGCCATTTTTCCAAAAAGTGATCTCTGGTATTTAATCAGATTCCCCTGCGAGAAAAAAAGACTTTCTTGATGATATTTGGGTTTGTCTGACGTCGTGTGACTTTTTCAATCACTAGATTTCGGTATAAAGTATTTTGATTTGTTCCGAATACATGTATGTCGCACACGTTTTAAAATTTTCTAACCATAAAACAATGTCTTGTTGACGCATTGTTTAGATCCTACATAATAATTATTTTAACGGACAAACTATTAATTGGATAGTTAAATCACATGTAAATCGATTTATCAATAACATGTACGTATTAAAAAGGCTACAATAAAATGCAAATTTCTGTTACATTTTCAAAATTTATATAATTAAATATTTAGAAATATTAACCCGCAAAATAAATTGTATCAATGCTTTTAGGCTGTGCTTTCTCACATAGCAATCAAATAAATTCGGTAATTTGGTTGCTCAGGAGTTTGAGATTTGCATATTCAAACTATAGTGTAGTATCTATATCATAACTCTAATATACGTGATTATATCAGTTTGTACAAATTGATCAAAAGTAAATGTCGATTGAATTAAATACAAAGGGTTTGGCTTGTTAGCAAAACCAAACTTTGTCGTAAACTTTAAAACTGTATGTCATGAGGTGCTGTCAAAAGGCTTGCTTGGCTTGAGCAAGACTAATCTATAAATAAGAAAAAACAAGCAAACGATTGGCCAGCATAAGAAAGATATTACAAAGTATGTTTGTTCCTCATGCTGTTAATACCGTTAGTGCATGGACCATATTGTATAGTTGCTGTGAGTTTGCGGTGGGTACTTCCAGGTTACACGAATAGTACATGTAATGGTATATTCCTAGTTCTACTATGAGGGAGGCAATGTGGCTAAGTAGGAACGGTGTGAGAAGTGGCAGTGCAGTAAAAGGTTGTCGACAATTCATTGACCAACAGAACAATAATTACATCATTTTTTGGTAAAAATAGCATTAATAATATTAAAGCTTAATAATATTGTGCTAAACCATGCCACTTGCATGCTCAGACCAGTTCTCTTATAATACGTGCATTGTATCGAGTGCATACTGATCCTCGATCTCCAGAGACCATTTAATTTGGTCGGGATTTTCCGTCGATCTTCCTGGAAGTGGGGCTAATCATTTTACCCGGTGATAATTCAGAAGAAGAAAAGAATAAATAAGCTCAATAAAACAGTGACATGTACATCTGGTGATATACAAAGGTATAGGTACTTATCATTTGTCGGTTGAATATCAAAAATGTCAAAAATAACCAATTAAGTGTAACCAGATCAAAACTCCGCATCGAGTTTTTTTAACAACACGAACTTAATGCGGGATACATAACACAACCTTCATTATTACAACGAAACTAATAGCAAACGTGGACGAGTAATGGTACAGCCTTTTATTCGATAAGCAAGTTGAGCTCTATTCTTCAGATGGTGCAACAACAATTGATATTAGATGCACTAATACCTTGCACTTTTTATCTAATATGGTAAACAATACTGTATACAAGCATATTGTAGCTAAACATAAATTTGCGTTAACAATGCATGCGCAGGAATAAGCAGAATGAAGGCATCAAAATTATTTGCGGTTAAGATTTTCTAATCACAGACAATGGATCGTCAGCTTTCCAAAACTTTATCTCTTTTGGAAAAAATTGCATAGTCGAGTGGACAAAGTTGTGCGATACGACTTCACCGTCCGTCAAAAAGGTAATCAGACACCTCTGTTTTATAAAATTAAACCCATTCATGCTCCTTTTGTAATTCAATCTTTGTTTGGTTTTTTGTGGAATGTAGTTGGCACAACTATATCCATTTTATTATAAAAGCTCCCAACTTCTCCACAATTAACGTTTGTTTTTCGGTTTCGTTTGATCTTTGGTCAAAGGGCATTTGTGCACTAACGCGAACATCAAGTACATACATATTTCTACAATGTCTTTAAACAAAAATATAAGTCTTTCCCCGTCCGCGACTACCACGCCGCTCGCGTCCCCAACTATGTCGGATGCTGCATGGACGTTATTTCTTCAGACGGGCGAGTCTAAACTCGACTCATCACCAACTATTTCTGATTCCTTATCTGTTCCCTCCAGTCCGGAAATTAGGATGGTCGCCTCGCCACCTACGTTTCTACCACCCAAACTTGTCTTGCCGAGTCCTCCGCCATCTCAACACCTACAACAACTCTCATCTCCGCTTCCTTCTCCGAACCCACCTTCCCTTTTATCCCCTACCCCATCTCCTCCCACGTCCCCACGTTCATCTCCTTCCTTACAGCACTCAATAGTTTTGAATTCTGTTAATAATAGTCGAGCCCTTTCAAATGAATTCATGGATTTTCCACTATTCTATTAACTAAGTTTATATCATTAAAGGACTTGCGAAGTATCCTTAAACAGCACCAATTTCATTAAAGAATGAAGTGGAAATAGACGAAACTTTTATCGGGCATCCAAATTTGACAATGTCTCACCATCGTATTTATCGAGTTGAATCAGTCGAGTGGGGTAGCAACTATAAGTTTGATGGCGGAACTGACGTAATACGGGATCGACTCGCAAATAAGCAAAATATGGGTTCTCATATCACAGAACTACAAAGATATACCAATACTCTAAGACAAACGGCATTACGAAACTTCTTTTGCATGATATAACCTTTGTTACAACGATTTTCAAGATGTTTGTTAGTCTGGATTTGGATGGATTAAGAGAAATATGTATAGAAGACTTTGTGGGACAAAAAGGGAAAATGTATTTGTGGAATTGTGGACGATTAGGGAAAGATAAGGAACGTTAAGTGTATTATGACATAAGAATCAGTCATGAACATGTTTGTATTGTTAAGCAATAAATAAGAAGCGTAATTGTATTATTCTAAATGTCAAATTACTACAACTCATTCACGCAAAAACAAGTAGCCGATATTATAAGGTTGGAACACAATAGAACGTATTTATTTCGGTTATTATTCTATGATCCGATGTCGCACCAAAATTTTTCTTCCATCATAAAACAATGTCCGCTACCAAGAAAGCAAGAACAGTGAGGAAAAGAGCGGCGGCGCCTACCGATTCTGATCCTGATACGAACGAACTGGTGCTGTCATCTGATCCACTTCATCCGGCGAATTTGATACCTGAATTATGTAAACTATTTTATTCTCTGGGATGGGTTACGGGTACTGGGTGAGTGATGATGTGCCGTGGTATGTTTCTTGCACACCACACAAACCCATGATCGGGTGGGATTGTGAAGATATCAATAACTGACAGATTGTCTTTGATGTAGAGGAGGTATATCAATACGTAATGGGTATGGAACATGTCTTGCTTGAGATCTTTTGTAAGATAGAGAATACTTTATTATTCCTCTCGTCATGATTTGGGAGCAGAACAAGTTTCTAAATGCTCACATGTTTCTTGGTACGTTCGTATGAATTGAACGTAATAGGGATAATGTATACATTGCTCCATCAGGTAGAATGTCAATTTTCATCATACATTTTAACGGATCAGGACGGCATGTTTGATAATTTGCATGTTTATGATTCAGTATGCATTTGTCTATGTAGCTGCCATCTTCTAGTGTTAACATTACATCTACGTGTAATGCAAATAATCTTACTTTTAATCAACTTTTCTTTCATCGATAATGTATCTATACTACAGGAGTCCAAAAAGAACGAATTTCTCCAAAGGACCTTTTTGTTCTCACACTTTCTACGCAATGCAACCTTCGCTCTCCACCATCTCTCAAACCTTCCGCTTGCACGCCATTATTCTTCAACGCATATACTCTTAGACAGGCTGGTGCATGCATTCATACACACTCGCAGAATGCCGTCATGGTGACGCTACTGTATAGAGATCAATTCAAAATAACGCATCAAGAGATGATCAAAGGTATTAAAAAAGGATCTACGGAAGAGAACATGATGTTTGATGAGATGCTCGTTGTTCCTATCGTGGAGAATACTCTATTCGAAGAAGAGTTGACGGCACGGATGGCCAAGGTTTGAAGAAGGGATTGTGTGTTGGTGTCGTATATGAGCTTGGGAATGGTGTGGGACGCAATCGTTAGCATACAAGGAGTGAGGTTAGCCCGATGAGAAAGAGAGGAGTCGTTAGCGCGTGTATATTGTTAGAATGGGTGTGATATTGAAGAACAAGCATATGTCGTACGTCATATGCTGACAATAAAATATCTGGTTTTCAAAACAGGCAATCGAAGATTATCCAGAGACGAATGCCGTTTTAGTGCGAAGGCATGGTGTATATGTTTGGGGTAGTAAGTGTCAGTCCTCGTATATTTGTTTCTTGAGTAGATCAGTTGCTCATTGCGCGTTTCTTTTTTGTTTTTCCATTCTACTTAGAAACATGGGAAAAAGCCAAGACAATGACGGAATGTTATGACTATCTTTTCGAAATAGCCGTCAAAATGAAAAGCATTGGAATCGATCCTGCCGCCAAACCTGTATAGTCTTGCTATGACGAGAGTTTACATAAGCAATCTTACCACACACAACTGGAGCAGTTTGGGAAATATTGGTTGATCATGACGTCAAGATTTCAGAGGCCGAATTATGTGCCTCAGTTGTCACTGATGAATTCCCAATGGCTCCCACATTGTAAAGACTCTTTATCTCTTTGCGAGTTTGTTTGGACACTTAAGTGCAACGTGCTCTTAATATTTGTTGTTCTGCCCTCAGTGCTCGTGATCATCCTTAACCGCTTGATATTGAATGTAGTTACTCTAAGCTATAATTTATATATATAGTTGATGTGTATTCTACAGTGGGCAAGAATATTAAAAAGGTTAACCTCAAACCAAAAAGGCAACGCAGGAATTTTGCTCCTCCCAGCCGTATACAGCCGCATCATTGGTATGATAGAGCAAAATTCGTCAGCGCCATTTTATGTATCGCGCAATTCTATACGAAATCCCAAATTTTATTCGGCTGACAATTTCGAAACACAAAATGTACGAACTATACTTTCCGCACGTATTTACCAAGAGAATAACTAAAGGCGGGCGCGCTTTTAGTATTAGCTCTGATATAAGTTCCGATATGTGGGTTCTCAATTTGTCACGACTGAGTTCTGGACATTGATGATGTTGTGTCTGTGTCTGAACTGAGACAGGTCCCAAACTCAAACACAACATTATCGATTCCCTAGTACTGCAGTGCGATGCGATGATGACAGAGCGTGGAAAATTACGCGCACATTGTAATCGAGCGGTGGTGGTGATGTTAGCATTGAGGGGAGAGATTATGTGTTTACGATTTTGATTTTCAAATGAGCAAAATATTGCAATAGTTAAAGAGTTTGGGGGATAATGTCTTTAAATATGTTTATGGCCGTCGGTATTTGAATGGCGGGAACCGAAAACACGCATAAAACATGCAATATTACATAGAGCCTACGCGCATAAAACATGCAATCTTACATGGAGCCTACGCGCATAAAACATGCAATCTCATATGGAGCCTACGCGCATGAAACATGCAAACACAGACTATATGATGGATCGCGGTCACAAATCGTTAATTCATGGGTAGACATTTGCAATTCCATGCAATTCGAATTTTTTTGATACGCCGTTGTCTTGTAAATATATTAGAGGGTCAAACAGAATTGATATTAATAACATCGTAAAATCCATCCTAAATTTTCTATTACCGCAACTACTCTCGTGAATAAGGCCTATTTGATCATTTTGCATTGTTTTTAAGCCACGTCGTTTATTACACATCACGAGCTGCATATAGTAATAAATCAGCATTACTATTACTAAATAAAGTAGTCTATGACGTTATTGGTTGGTGATTAAAATTATTACGATAATAAAACAGCCATCCCCACAGGCCTAGCATCAAGTTAATCATCCG